ATCAAGTGTAGACATAACCTCAGTATTAAATGTTTCTCACTTTCCTTAGGGTACTCACTATAACTGGACGCGCGAGGATTGCGACAAGGCATTGCTCCGGGACATGATCCGGTCCTGCCATACACATGCTCATAGCAGAAGGCGGCGTGGTATTATGGACGCGTTGTTGGATATCTGGTACTTTTTTCAAGGAATCAGCAAGGAAGAGAGAAGGTGCAAGATAGCTGCGGAAATGTACTACAAGATTGTGCGCGCTTTTGGGGGATCTCACTTTGAGAAACGAGACCATATCTATTGTATAAGCACGTGCGCTGATGAACATGGTAGTCCATTTGTAGAACTTTAGCAGTTACAAGAACTTGCAGCGTGTTACAACCCGTCATGCCACTGGGAAAACACAAAAGGAGCAGGAAAGATTTAACTGCGGACGTTTAAGTTGAGCCCATATCTGCAGAATTTTGTGAGTTACAAAGCGAAGTTTTCTGTTTAGAGTGAAAATGCAGCCATAGTTAGTCCCCTGTATTAACTATGACGCAGCCTTCCAGTTTACTGATTGCTTGGGAATTTAAACTAATGGGTTATACTATCACTGGGTCCATGTGCTGTCCGACGGGAGGCCATCTCTGTAAAGCTAACGGATAAATAGTATTGCGCAATTCGAGGAACCGTTACATGGGAGACTATTCACAACTGAAAAGAGCCAAATTCTTAATAACGTTATCAGGAACCTGCGGATTTCTCTCGCAGTTTGCGAAGCTTTCCTGTCTCATGGCCATCCCTTGAAGAAGCGTCTCTGTTGAGATACATGTAAAAGAGAGTATTTTCTACACTTAATATAACCGGCAAGATGGGTTAATCGATCCGTTTTTTAGATACACTTTCAGTATTTGTGGTTGTCTTTTATTCACGTCTTTACTAAGCTGCGATCAGGTGTTCTTTTTTGGGACGGCCCGAAAAAAAAAATAAAAGAACGCCTAATCACAGGTCAGGTTAGGTATTCACAAGCGTGTATGTATGCTGCAGTAAAGGTGGTAAGCTGTGATATCGAAAACCGAACATCGTTTTCGATTCCACATCTTCAAATGATAGCTAACCGAGTATTTCATTGTTAGGCTAAAACTATAGGATACATTTCGAATAGCATGCAGTTCTGTTGCTGCCTCGCCGTCCTTGAATGTGCGATCCTAGCTTTGTATGCTGTGTAAGTGTTAAAAATCGTGTTATATTTGTGAAGTTCAATGACAAGTAAAATAAAAGTAGTGTTGTGTGGTACGACAATTGGGTGTCCGGTTATCTGTACATGCGAGGTACATTCCATTCAGTTCAAGCACTTTTCACTTCTTCTCGGCTCACAGCCGACAGGTTAGTGAAGCACTCAGCTAATTAATGACTTGAGTTGATAAGGTAGCGGCTGATGGACGGTGCACTCCGCACTAACTACGTCAACAGTTCACTCGTAATTAATATAATTAAATGACAACCTCCGTCATTAGATCATCTAATGCTCGAAATAAGAGCCTCAGTTAGAATTTTCCACAGGAGTTAATATGTCTCCAGTCGCGGATCCAGACCTCTTTGTGAGGTTGGCCCCTAAATGTTTCCAGCCCTGTGGGCCTTAAATT